GAAGGGGCGAGGTCCTACACGAGGAAAGGCTGTAGAGAAGATGGTGGAGGCAAATGGAAAGTTACGTGTTGAGATCCCTAATGGTGTGAATGTCCCAGTCGGGAAAAATGCACAACGTTGTATTAATGAGATGGGAGCCTTGGCTAGGGCTTTCGTCCCAATTACTGTGACCCTATGAAATGATTTGTCTGATGACATGCGTTCCCCTATCATTGCACGCCTCCGAGTAATTATACTTATTTTATTATATTCGTTATTAATATAATTATTTCTGTTCAAAATAATGTATTATTTTTTCGTACAGACAAGGTTTGACATTGTTGAATACGATGAGTCAGAATGTGTTCAGGACAACATTGAAGCTAAGTTTGCTCGTTTGTATAGTGACCATCGTTCTAAGATGCATAGTCACTATAAACAATTGGTGAAGGCTGGCTTGGACCAAAAAACTGAGCCATACAAATAAGTTAGTAAGAATGATTGAAATTATATAATCGAGCACGTATTCAAGGATCCAAAATTTCAGGTAAAAACTTGATAGTTTATCACTAATGTTGTTGGTTTTTATTTATAATCGGATATTGTCTCTACACTAACCTATGTTAATTTTTTTATGTAGAAACGATCTAAAATAAATTTTGCAAATCGTGTCAAGCTACCCTACAATCATGCTATGGGTTCCAAGTCTTTTCCATCTGCAATGCCTGTTATGGTTAATTGTTTTAACTTATACTTTTTTTGTATGTTATCTTATTTATGATGTTGTAACTATACAGTTTTTTAAAACAGAAAGATCCCGAAACCCAAGAGCCACTTCATTTTGTAGATTTTTTTCGTGAATCTCACTTTAGCAAAAAGTCAAACAAATGGATATCACAAGAAGCTGAGTCTCGATATGTAAGTATAAAAATTTTCTTGATGTCATTGTATTTGAGATTTATAAGGTTGATAAGTTTCGTTTTGTGAACAAGTTATCAATTATTTTTTAAATTTTAGAATCAGATGAAGGAATTAAGAGACAAGTCCACACAAGATGGTGAATCACATATGTCTGAGGAGGAGATTGCAAATACTGTCCTTGGCTGCAAATCTAGCTATAAGAGAGGTTATGGGGTTGGACCAAAACCTTCTTCAAACAAGAAGTCTAAAACTATTGCAAATGAAGAAAAGGTGACGAGTCTGAAGATAGAGCTGGATGAAACCAATAAAAAACTCTAGAAAATGGAGAAGTGGCAAGAAATGATGATGCAACAAATGACAGAGGTGAGGTTAACAGTGCAGTGTGGTGGGGACATTAGAGAGCCGAGCAATTCAACTTTATCTTGGTAAGCTATTTTGGCTATTATCATATACTTAGTCAAATATTAATTTATTAACCTATAAATTCAAATTTTATATATATATTTTTTTACTTCTTATCTATAATGCGTTAATGAGTTTTTTGTGTTTGTCATAGATTGAAGATTGATTGTAAAGAACTCTTTTTAGATATCCAGACATCTTTTCTTTCAAATATTTGAGATATTTTGTTGTTGGGATTTTAGATGTTGGGTTGTTGGATGTTGAAAATTTTGGAAAATGTTAAGAGTTTTGGATATTGTTTGATGCTATTGAAAATTGTTAGACGTTATTTTATATTTTGAGTAATATATTAATGTTTTAGTAATTGTGATGTGTTTTTATGGATTATCTATTGTTGTGAGTGCATGATTGAAATTGGTCGGAATGTTTTTGAGTTGTTATAACTGTTTTTAAATTGTTATTGGACCAAATGAGATTTAATCATGTTTTTTTTTAGGTGACCAAAACACGTCGTCGCTAAAACATTGTTTATCAGTTTTGGCAACGAAAAAAATTCTTTGCTAAAATGCTGGGTGATTTTTTTGGTGACAAATATGTTTGTTGTCAATATTTTGTGTACTTATTTTTAGCAACGAAATAGAGACGGTCGCTGAAATTTTCACATTTTGTGACGAATATAATCATTGCTAAAGATTGTGGTTAAAATAATTTATTTTTTGGCGACGAACAAAACGTTGACGACGAAATAAGAACATGTTTGACAACAAAATTATGGTCGACTATTGTGTATTTTTGGTAACAAAATTTTTGTTGTCGCCGAAAACTTTCCTAGATGAGCCTAAAACGACAAAATGACGACGAAATAAGTTCGACGCAAAAAATTTTTGGTGACGAAATTTATACATTTTGTGTCGAGTCAATTCGTCGCTAAAAAACATATTTGTTGTAATGAGAAGGAGATATTTTCTCTTTTTATAAGGATGACAATGACATATTTTCTACGTATAGAAAAGACCTTTAACTAAGAGCAATACTATTGATTTCATCGTAGATATTTATTAAGATTCACTGCTTATTAAATAATTATGATCGATCAAGTCTCTATTTCAAGTTCAAATTTTAAGCGTAAGTAACTTTTTTCTTTAAGTAATGACAAAAACGGAAACCATATTAAATTAAAAATCAGCTGGAGAGTCTAGGTACATGAGACATAAAGTCTAGCCATATGAGACAGAAAATCTTGGAGGATAATTGGAGATCTGCTAGCACAGAGTTTGCTGCATGTTTTGAATTGACTTTATGCTGATTTACATTCTTTCCGTTACCTGTTTCCTTCAATTTTCTTTACTACATTACTAAATAAGTGAACTGTATAAGATTTTAAATTTTAATTGATAAAATATTTTCTCATTCATTTTGTTGTTGGTAGAGTGTTTACTATTATTAAAGAATTTTTTTATAAGAAAAAAATCTTATCCATTAAAATTCAGAACTTTATGCCCCTTGACTAATGCGTGATCTGCTCCTTTAGATTTTTGTGCTCTCCTCTTTATTCAAGGCATGATTGTGTTCCTTGCTCTTTTTTTTTCCTCTACTTGCTCAAATTGGATCTGGGTTTTGAAATTTTGTTAACTTATTCAACTGGGTTTTTGTTGAATTTGAATTTAATCTTACTTTTTGATGGTATGTGTTGCACAATTGAGCAGAGTTGTGATCTTAGGGATTAGAGAATCATTGGAAGTCTAAGTCAGAGCTCCTAGACTCTTAAGGATTGAACAATGGTGATAGAGAATTGCAAACAGATAGTTTATAGTAGTTTCCCAGTTCGGGAGGTCGACTAATCCACTCTCAAGGAAGTTTTTTACTCCTGAGAAATTTTTATTCATAAAAAAGAGGGATTACACATAGTATTTGCTTAAACTTGTTGCTTGTGTTTTATTGTGAGGAATATGCCTCTTATTTATAGTTTTCAAGGGCCTTGCTTGATCCCTTGGCGTGATCCATGCCTTTCCCTTCTAACGAATGTTATCCAGTTATTGTGGATAGTGCTGAGGCGCGGTTGCGACTTCCTTGCTTAAATATTTGACTGTTATGGTTTATGCGTGGTATTTCGATGGAAGCCAATTGTCATCCTTGCTATTCTCATGAGGGTGTTGTTGTTGGGGAGATGGTGCGACCTGAATTCTCCTGATTATCTATGATGAGCTTTGTGATTCGACCTCGATATGACCGAGCTAAACACCCTAACTCAATCTTATTCATATTTTGAGCATCATCACTTTTCATCATTGATTTTGTGACCCATTGGCTTAAAGAATGTGACAGGGACCCAAACAACGCTTTTTCAAGCTCTCTCTCTCCCTCTATCTCAAAACCCATTCTCATAATGTGTTTTATTGAGTTGAGTTATGACAAGGACTGCAACAAATTTTGTGCATACATGCATCTTACTATATAATAATTCAACTATTGGTGCATACACTTATTACTATTACTATAATTAAGAAAAGTGTCAAACAGTCAAGCGCAATATCAAAAGTATATAGCCTCAAAACAAGAAAAATCAGAATTTTGAAGCCAGTAAATCTTCAAAATAAACATTAAAGTTGGTACAAAAATTAGTCGAAAACATTGAATTTCCCCAAACACCTAGGCATATGCAACTGTTATGCAACATATCATATAAGTGCGAAAGTCTCTTTGCTTTTTATTTCATTGCACTCTCTCTCTTGTGCATGTGTATGTGATTATGGTGTCCATGTGAGGGAATGGAACCCCAATGAGAAAAAAATAAATTACATAATCAAAATAGCTCGAGTTCGTTTGAATTGAGCCCACATAATGTGATGGATAGTAATATCCACCATAATATGTAATCATTTGCAAGATTGATGCAACATTAATAACCAAAGGACACAAAAAAATTATTGCCTACCAGGGAAAAAAAAAAAAAAGAGGAAGAAAAAACTCTCAAAATATTGTATTATTAATTTGATTAATTAAATAAAATCATAGTACACAGGACAATTTATAAGGATCTTCAAACTCCTAAAGGTTTTCAAAACGGGCCTAAATCCATAGTTTTGAAAAAGTTACTAAAAACATATAAAAATATGTCTAATGAATTAGAAAAATTGACATGGTTTAAACAACAAACCACTTTAGAATATTTTTAATAAAACTCTCATTCTAAATAAATAATAAAATAATCTGTTATGCACTCTTTTGTAGATCTGTTATGCCCTCAAGAACAGATAAAATAATTTCTCATTCAACAACCTTTGGTAACCTTAGCATGGTCTTCAGGATTTCTTAACAACTCAAAACAATCAGGATCCAATATAAATTGAAAATCATTTGAACAAAAAATATGTGGACCAGCTAGATCCAAATTATGCGGACGTGCCACTTGATGTAGTTTTTAATAACAAATGTATGTCATTGACACGAGAATCTAGTCCAACCAGATGCTTGGTGACATTTAGAGGTTTCCTTTTACGCAAAACGTCTTCAATGATATTTTTGATAATCTTTGATTGATACCTGCAATTATACACCAATCAACCAGTAAAATAACAAAAATTTGACAAGTTGAAATTTACAGGAAAACACTCTAAATTAGATGCTAATTTCTCGGTACTAGAACTATATTTACCTCTTTTAAAACTTTAAAACATGAGACTAGTTCAAAGGAAACTCTAAGATAACAGGTGCACGAGGAACCGAAGAAGGCTAGTATGAATTACGTACCGATTTTCGACATTATCACAACAAAGCCCTGCTATACTCCCAACTTGAGTAAGTGCAGCTCTCCATTTCTCCACCTTTTCAATTTCGGCCACAAAGCGCTCTGCTTGCTTTGCAAATGCCTCTGCAACGATCCCCCTGTGGTTATGTACATCAGACGGATTGACATCGTAAAATATAGGAAGAACCAACTGCCTAATTGTTTTGCTACATTCAAGGATCGCCACAAGCTCATCCAAGCACCATCGGGAAAGAGCATAGTTTTTCGACAATATGATAATATAAATCTTTGACTCTCAAATTGCTTTCAGCAATTCCAATGAAATAGATTTTCCTCGTGGTAGTTTATCATCCCTAAATATGTGAACACCAGCTTGATCTAAAGCTGTGTAGAGGTGATTCAGTGAAGTTTTTGCGTGTATCACCTCGAAAACTCAAGAAGACTTCGTACTTCCATGGATCTGACAAAGACGAAGAAGAAGAAGGTGGAGGAGGGACGTATTGAGTGCTTGTACCAGCCATGGACAAACTCAAGACCGGATCAGATTGATGAAGAGCCAATTCATCATCTTGATGAACTAGTAGAGCAAGAAAGATAAAGGCAACGTGGGTATGGGGGCAAGATAGATAAATTCAATAATTCTGAACCGCGGGTCTAGGGGGCTCCAGTAGGAAATTTCAGAGAAAGCTCGCGGAAACAACTTAGCAATACGACAAGGTTGATAGTAAGGCGGCTAGACTTTTGCTTAATTTAACAATTTTAAAATCTTAATAAGGGTAAATTATATTCAAATTCCTTAAAATTTGTCATTTAATCATATAGATCCCTCACGTTTAAAATATTACATTCAGACCCCTTATGGGTGACCATCTGATAATGGAGCAAACGAAAATGATTAAAAGACCAAAATAGCCCCAAACTACAAGATATTTTCTTAATTAAGTTATAATTACCAAAATACTCATTTACTTATATCTTCGGATTTTTGTCCCCATCTCTCCCTCTCTCTCTCAAACCCACCTCCCCTAAAGCTTCCCTCTTGTGCAGACACCCCCCTCCCTGGGCGAACTCCACTCCTACGCAGACCCCATCGGCATAACCTCTTCTCTCTCTCTGTGTCACACACGCAAACCCACCTCCCCCCAAACTCCCCTTCTACATAAACCACCCCTTGTCATAACACCCTCTCTCTCTCTCTCTCTATGTGTCACAAACGCAAACCCACCTCCCCCCAAACTCCCTTCTTGCTCAAACCATCGTCGCGCCATAACCCTCTTCTCTTTCTCTATCACACGCATTTAAACCCACCTTCCCCCAAAGCTCCCCTCCTATGCAGACCCCTTCTCCCCAAAAAAAACTCCCCTTGTGTGCAAACCCCTTCACCATAACCTTTTTTCTGATTGGTGGTGGCAGTGGGTTAGGGATTTTTGGGTTGGTGGAGGGGTGTTGATGGTGCCATAACCCTTTTTCGGATTGGTGCTGGCAATGGGTTAGGGTTTTTTGGGTTAGTGGAAGGATGTTGATGGTGGCAGAGAGACAAAGAGAGGTGTTGTGATGGAAGGGATTATTGGGGTGTTGTCATGGTGATTGAAGGAAATTGGCGGTGGAGGCACTAGTTGAGGAGTCAATTGCTTGATTTATGGAATTTATTACTAAAATATAGTTTTTTTTAAACTTTTTTACCAATGTACAACAGTTTTGAACTTAAATACCAATCTACGACATTTTTTAAAAGCGGAATCAATAAATCTGACTTTAGTAGAAAGGGGAATCAACAACTCCGCTTTCATATATGTAAAGCGGCTTTGTTGATTCCGCTTTTAATAAAAGCATAATCATCAAATCCATTTTTTACACAAAACCGTGTTCAACAATTCCGCTTTTCAATAGGGCAGATATATTTAAGCCTTCATTGAAGGCGGATGTGTTGAATCCGATTTCATTTAGAAATCAAATTTGATAAAACACTTTTATTAGAAAGTGGACTTGTGAAAAACCTTAAACCCTAAACATTAAAAAACTCTACCCTCTAAAAATATTATTATCCAAAAAAAAGAATACCAATGGTACCTCCAAACTCAAGCAACAAACCCTAAACCAAGGGGAAAGAGACTTTATTTCTTTTGCGAAAGAGCATTACAAAAAAAAAACATTCAAAATGAAAAGACTTTATTTCTTTTGTTGAAATAGAACTATAAGATTTTATTTTAAACGACATAATACAGACATATTAGTCAAAATATTTCTAATAATGATCATATTTTCAACAGCATAGTGGTGTGTCATGCAAGTAAAGAGTAGCAAAGATAAATTTTTCATTATGATCATCACCACTTGATTCTTCAAAGACAGAAAGTTCATTATCAGAAGGCAAGGATAGATTGTATAGTATTGCATTAATAGGTTGTAAAGGGTCTGAATGTTCAATCTTTGCCTTAATAATAAAGTGAAATCGATTTAGCCGTTGTTCCATCTGATCGAGCTAGTATTGCAATGATATCATTGTAGTTATTCATGCACCATTCCACATACATTTCAACTAAACGTGCCTTTGACACTCATAATTCTTGCCAACGACAATATACTTCAAGCACACAGCACTTGAAATAAGATTTCTACCAACTTGGTCCCATTAGATGGTAATAAAATTCTAGAGGCAGAACAATGGTTGCAGGTCCAACCACACATGACCAATTTCGATGAAAGGGTTATGAATGTTGATTGTCTCATTCTTAAAGAAACACAATTTTTCATACCTTGTTACGTTGTTGGGATCTGTGTAATTACCAGATTCTGGTGAACTGAATGAAGAAAATGTTTCAAGATGTCAGTGGTTGGTTGGGAACAAGTCATCGTTTGTTTTGCTTAAAGACCCAATTGTTGATGTTGTTGACAGTTTAGAGTAGGATTTACACTGCAGTTAATTATCTGTATATAAATAGAAACGTAACTTATTTTAATATTAGAGGCATTGCACTGAGTAGTAACTTATTGCAGTGATAATACATTAAGGAGTGAACAATGATAGTGACTAGACACTGATGACATAATACTGATACCAACGTACTAACAGTGTTTTGTTAAATCATCACTTATGACATAATACTGATACCAACGTACTAACAGTATTGTGTTAAATCACCACTGACGACTTAATACTGACAGTGATGTGCATCGTTCAGTGATGAGGCAAATCACCAGTGTTGCACGATTAGTTAAATCATCATATTTAAAATTTTTTATCCAAAGCTGGCAAAACAGTGACCACGACTAGCATCACAATATCACTATAAATTCATTGTGTGTGTTTCCCTCTTAACATACTTACCAACTGCAAACATGAGTTACAGTCCATGAATAGTGTTTGAAAGTATGGGTTATCATTGGGCTTTAGAGGATAAATTCTTCTATCATCTAAATCCTCGTTTACGTTTCTCATAGAGGTCAGTGAATAGAATGAGGGAGGAATGACAATATCGTTTTAATGAGAAGGAAGTTCTAAGTGAAGATTTACGCACTTGCAACATATGCAGGCCACGCCAAATTGCCATTAATATGCCTTTTGACACTCCTCAGTAGTTGGAAGGTGCATTATGGTGTATTTGAGTTGAAAACAACCATATGGAAATACGGAAAAATCGGTACAACCTCCGCCGAATTGCAGGCGACCATGCTGTAGAAGGTTTGATTGACGAAGCACATTTGTGCTTATATATCTACGGAAGTAGGATGTGTTTCTGACGTTGAAATGTCGGATGAAGAAAGTTTCCCATAATGAAGATTCCTTGATCAATAACCATTTATGCATATGTTGGTTTGTCCTCCAGGGTTTGTACTAATGTATGTCAATAGTTATAATCATGTTTATATGTTTGTACTAATGTGTTGTTGTAGTTTATCTGTACTGTCATTGTGCGGTGCTAAAATATAATGTATCGTTTGTTGTCTTATGTTATCAAAAGCATTGAAGTGGAGAACAATGCTAAACATAACAATGCATACAATATATAGAAAGTACATATACATTTGAAAACAATATAAACTACAAGTTGAAATTAAGTATGTATTACAAATATTGACTTTACACATAATGTATTTTAAAAAATTTTGACAGAGTTTCACAATATCAAAACAACAACAATCACAACAACAATACAACCACAAACATAACCAACACAACCTCTACCACCAACACCCAATCACACCAACACAAAAACTCCACCACACAACCACATACACCCCACCACACAACCAACAATAATACATTGAAACTACTCTATTACATACATGTGAATAAATTCAACAAATGATAAAACATGATAACACTAAGTATCACAAGACGGCTTCTTCCTNACCACACCAACACAAAAACTCCACCACACAACCACATACACCCCACCACACAACCAGCAATAATACATTGAAACTACTCTATTACATACATGTGAATAAATTCAACAAATGATAAAACATGATAACACTAAGTATCACAAGACGACTTCTTCCTAAGCCATTTTGGACGTCGTTCCTCCAACTATTACGGATCCCCATTGATCACCTGTGACACCGGATCTCTGACTGGAATACTATATCTACCTCTGCCTCGACCACTCCGTCCTCTACCACTGTGGCATCTAACACCTCGAAATCTGTCACCTCGACCTCGACCTCGAACTAGTGAAATAAGATGGGCAAGTAGAGTCGTAACATGCTTTTGTGACCTATGTACAACTACGGGAGTTGTAGCAACTCCCATACCATGACCATGAATGACATCATTTGATGACTGCGAAATCTGAACATCTGACAGAGGTGATGTCATCAATGCCTCATGACAGATAGACTGAGTGGGCAATATAACTCTTGAAGCATGATATGGATAGCCATAGGGGAAACATGTCTTACGGTATACTCATATGGTATGGAGGTCCCGGTCAATGGGGTTGGATGGGGTGAAGTATGTGCTGAGGTATACGAGGGACTCGATGTGGATGGTGTCTCTAAATGGACTACGGACGGTGTCTGTGAATGCCAAGGTGCACTAGGTACTGTGTCGATATTGGCATCTACTTGAATAACAAGTCAGTGACATGGAGGTCTCTATCGTCGTATAACAACACCATGAAGTCGCATAGGTACATCGGCTGAATGTGGTAACATTGTANGAACGGTGTCTGTGAATGCCGAGGTGCACTAGGTACTGTGTCGATACTGGCATCTACTTGAATAACAAGTCAGTGACATGGAGGTCTCTATCGTCGTATAACAACACCATGAAGTCGCATAGGTACATCGGCTGAATGTGGTAACATTGTAACCACATATGCCTCCCCGGTGGTTCACGTAAATGTTGTAACATTGTGACCAACTTTTTTGATTGCAACATACGATATCTTCTTCACAACGTGAGATGTGAACAAGCAGCCACTATTTGACGTNCTTGAAGCATGATATGGATAGCCATAGGGGAAACATGTCTTACGGTATACTCATATGGTATGGAGGTCCCGGTCAATGGGGTTGGATGGGGTGAAGTATGTGCTGAGGTATACGAGGGACTCGATGTGGATGGTGTCTCTAAATGGACTACGGACGGTGTCTGTGAATGCCAAGGTGCACTAGGTACTGTGTCGATATTGGCATCTACTTGAATAACAAGTCAGTGACATGGAGGTCTCTATCGTCGTATAACAACACCATGAAGTCGCATAGGTACATCGGCTGAATGTGGTAACATTGTAACCACATATGCCTCCCCGGTGGTTCACGTAAATGTTGTAACATTGTGACCAACTTTTTTGATTGCAACATACGATATCTTCTTCACAACGTGAGATGTGAACAAGCAGCCACTATTTGACGTCGAACCACGCCTGTCATTGAAATACTTAAAAAGCTTGTAAAGTATTGTTTCAACGCATGATGTGATCAACAAATGCCTTTCTTTTTTTAGGACAAAGTTGAACACCTCAAAAATGTTGGTTGTCATGACTTCATAACGTCTTCCACCATCATGTGCAGGTGTCCACTGCCTTTTTGGTATATGATTAAGCCAAGGAACTGCAAATGGGTTGATTTCGTGGATTTCTTCTATAATCTTATCATACTTGCAGATTTGATGTGTAGTACTAGCATCTCATACTAAACGTTAAAGATAGGAATTATGAAACTTACTACTGAAGTTACTACGGACAAGTCGTAAGCAAAATCGATGGTATGCATACGTCATTTGCCTTTCAAAACCATGAGCAACCACCGATTGAATTATACCTTGATGACGGTCAAGTAACAGACATATGCTCGGACAGTCACTGACAACATCATGTCTAAGTATCCAAAAAAACCAACCCAATGTATCTATACTTTCCTCATTGACGATTGCAAATGTGAGAAGATAAATCTGATGATTTTCATCAAGGCCCGTAACAATTAACAACTTCACCTTATACTTCTCGTACATGAATGTGGCATCGATGCTTATAAGTGGATGATAGTGTCGAAAACCATCAATACACGATTTAAATGCCCAAAAGACTCTATCAAACACAGCCGTCCCATTTCCAAGGTTGGCCAACTTTCATCTGACTATTGTACATTGATTCTACTTTTGTAATGCAGCGAGAAATTTTGGCAAAGTAGAATGTGATTCATCCTAGTCACTAGAAATCATAGCTAACGCAATTTTTTTTTGCTTTACATGTTTTACTATACAAAATCTCATACTCATACATATTGGCAATGTGTTGTATTATCACAACAATCTTCAGAGATGGATTTGCCCTCGCGAGATCTTTAGTTTGGCATGCAACGAATTGGGAATCTAATTGCATATGGTCCTGAGTGGCTGACACATGCAGACAAGTGTGTGGGCCTTCATATTTGGTAATTTGAAACATCTCGTGCATTTTCTTTTGACAAGCATGAAGCCTCCACTTGCACTCGAAATGGTATTTTTTACACCGCAAAGCCAATACCTTTTTTTCACTCTCAACAACCTCAAATTGGATATGACTATTGATTGAATAAATCTTCACTGCATCTTACAATTCTGTTTTACTCTTGAAGATTAGGCCGATGGATAACTCAGGCCAATTAGGATCTCACAATAGAGTTCTTGTTTGATTATTGGAGGCATACAGTTGGGGAAGTTCATCATTAGTGAAGAAGGCGGACGATGGCTCACGCATACGAACAGTGTCTTGCACTATAACTGATGGGCCAGCTTCGTCACCATCATCATTAATGTTTTCCACATCGTCTAGCAATGTAATCTTCTTGTCCTCATCGTCTGTGTTTTCTGCACGATCAACTACACGTATTCCATTACTTGCCAACACATCACTGTCTGACTGAACCAGATGACGAATTACATTAGTCCTTGTTTCAGTCTGAGGATGGATACCAACATTCAAAAAAGATGTGGTTTATCCCACAAACATCGACGTCTGTGTACTAGGCCCTATACGTAATTCTGGCATATAAGGCTTGGCCTCCAGAATTTCATGGCCTGAATTAAACTCTGTTATAAAAGCATCGTCCGCCATAAAGCCATGCGCATATTGACTACTCCCTTCAACATAGTAAGAGTTAACAAGTGCTAGCAAACTGGGACATGGATTGATGCTCTCCTGTGTAAGCAATTAGATATATAGGCTATACTCATTCACCATTAGCTGAGGAAACTATTAGATTTACTCTGCCTGTATATACAAGTCAATACTATTCAGTGCTTGGTTCTCAAATACAGCATCCAACATCATTCCCATGTCGTCATCATTTTTAATTATCAAATTCCACGTACTGTTGCATGCAATCCCCCAAAAATGATGGAAACCGACAAATTCGTTGTAGTAATGATGTTGAACTATTCAGCTGCATTATCATATACATAGTTCTCAATAATTCCTCATATGTTGTTTTGTGTTTTAACTTTATACAATGCTGAGGCTTTACATTGTACGATAAACAACCTTCATTTTATATAATATTACCTCCCTAATAGCACATTACTGTGACGTTTCTCCTCGACATTTTATACCTTTAATGTAAAATATAATATCAAATAATTTTCATATTTTAATTACTGTATTAGGTTGCATTACAAAATTTACTTTTAAACCTATTAACATACTTAGAAAGTGAAAACATAAGAGGTTACTTTCTGAATTTCCTACAGTGCAAGGACCTCAGAGCTGCTATGTTTAACATGCACGAAAACTCCAATCCAAGTACTCTTAATTTTATAGTCAAATGTATACAATATATAAGACTTGGTTGTGCATAGACTGTCAGTTAGATGCTGGCTCAATTCATTTTAAACACGATCATTTTTTCATTCTACACATTTTACAACAAATGAATTTCTTTCCATCGAGAAAAATAGGTTCTTCCCTTCACCAAAAACAAGGTTTGTACCATAAGCAACACGATTCACCTCCAATCTATGAATATGCAACATAGAGAGAGAGAGAGAGAAGGGTAGAGAGAGAAAGTAACAACAGAAAGAAAGAGATACAAAGTTGTCCTATCCTATACCTATCCTATCATAACCCACTGTCCAAACTAATTTTTATTATCGCCCTCTTATTTTCTTTGTAGGTAGATCAACCTTATTTACTTTCTACTCTCTAATTTTTACCCCATCATAATTGTAACAAAATTCTCCAGTTTTATATATTTACGTACAAAAAATTAGCGTTCTCTAAGTCTCGTCGTTAGACCTTAAGATCATGAATTAATAATAGTGTAACTAAAAAAAAAAGGATACATTTTCAATAAAAAATTGTTGGTGTTAGAATGTTAGATTTGTTTTCCTAAAAAGTAAAAATCACTCTCTCCATGTTGGACCTTTTTTTCATTCTCATTTGAATTTGTAATAAATAATCCTAAAAATAACAAAAACCATTCCACCTCACTAGAGTAAAGACCCAAACCAAAGTTAAGCACAACTACAATTCATTGATCAATTATCAATAAGAAAATCTCAAAGAGTAATTGAAATCTCAAAGAGTAATTGAATTCATTCGTTGGACTATTACCAAAGTTGATGATCCTAATAAAATTTCAAATATTTGACTGTATAGTATCTTAATAGCTATAATATGTAAGCAACTCGAGAGATGGTTATGTGCTTGTAGCTTAAGCTTGATTTGCTTGACTTTATTTTGATGAAATTTTAAGAGCCTACCTAAAACCCACCAAAGGTAGTGTGGTTACATGTTACATTGAGTAGTAAAAAAAAAGTGATTTACTGCATCTAAAAATAACACTCAAACCAGAATAAGAACTAATATTTCTAACCACATTAAACTTTGTATCCAACTATAATGAGAACTAAAAAAATAGTAAGCCACATGATATGATTATAACTTCACACTGTTAATATTTCTAGCGGCATTAATCTTTTTTGATGAAATTTTAAGAGCCAACCTAAATATATTCTAGCCACATTAAACTTTTTCCCACTCTTAATATTTCTAACCCCCGCATACCTTTGTAGGATTAAAACTTCCCACTCTTAATATTTCTAGCCACATTAAACTCCTTTGATGAAATATTAAGAGCCAACCTAAAACCCACCAAAGGTAGTAATGATGCAGAAAACTGTCTCATGCAAGATCAACAGTCAAGTGTGTGAAGAGGTGTAATTAATGAACAGTAAATAAAGCAATCAATGAAAAAATAGTAAATATGAAATTAATACACAGATATATAGTGGTTCGGTCCGAGTGACCTGCTCCACTCTCGGGAAATGGCAACGATGGCGGGGAGCCTTTATTGATGAATAAAGTAACAGGGGGAGAGCTCCGAAAGAGTATACTCTAGGAGAGTTACAATAGCTAAGAGAGAGAAGCTATGTGTGTAGGAAGGTGTAGAGAGAAAAAGCTCTATGTGTAGAGATGTGTGTTGGAAGAGATGTCTCTCCATGTAGAGAGAGCTTACAATATATAGGTTTAGTGAGGCGGTGACGTGAATGAGATGACACTACTTATTTGGTAAGTACAATTAAGGTAGGATTGATCTTCCTGAGTGCATATCCCGATAATCTCTCTCCTACGTGCTCTTATCTTCCCGGACTCCTTGGATCTTGGACTGGGTCGGATTGATAAAGTGGCCTTGGGTTACTTTTTAGCTGACTTGGGCTTGGTTGATTTATTGGGCCTGGCCCAGTTGGTTTTGGGCTCTTCATTTGCCCCCCATGCCCCAAGCGCTGATGGTGGTGAAGGGATTGAGGGCATGAGTGAGTCTTCTATTTAAGGTGGCTTGCTTCCCACAGTAGCTTCTTCGTCTTTCCATTTCTGCATACCTCCGGAGTTCATCTTCTTCACTCTTCAAATCCCAGAGGAGATGGAGATCTAGGGAAGTGGGTCACAACCGAAATCGAGTTCCAAGGATATCTCAACGATATTCGAAGGAGATCCATACCCATTCATGGCTGCACCCATTATCGGAGGCAAGGGCCAGATCCAATGGAGGCAGGGAGGTGTTGGTCAACGCCTTTGAAGAGACAAACCAGCTGCTGGGCGGCGCCAGAACGGTGGGCTCCTTCGATGTAGGTGAAGACTTTGATGATCGCGTCACAAGGCAGGTAAGGAGCTTCAAGCACAACAACGTGGGGATAGGTGACGAGGTAGGCGGCGCCTGCCTGGAAGCTGGCCTGGGCAGCATCTACCATAAGCGCCTAGGCGCTGGCTGTTGGAACTGGCGCTGGCTTGAAGTAGGAGGCAATGCCTTGGAGTAGAAGCTGGCCTGGGCGACACCATGGAGGCCTGGGCAACGCCAAAGGATGTATGTGCTCTGGGCGACGCTTGGGAGGCCTAGGTAGACGACCAGAGTATCAGAAAACCATGAAAAAATCATAAAACTTTGAACGACCATAACTTTGCGCCCGATTGTTCGTTTGAGGTGAATTATTTTTTGAATTCGGGTATTTTTTCTAGATCTACAACATACAAATTGCCAAAGGCAGTTTGGTCAACAAATATTTCTAAAAAATGCTTCTATCTCTCTGAATTTGAGTTTTAAGCACAAATTAGTGAAACCGACGATGGTGGGAAACTGCGTTCTGGCAGGCATCTGTCAGGCACTCTTGGGTGACGGATTGAAATTCTGGGTTTTTGTCAGAGATGGAGACTATGATGGCTTTCGATTATGTAAGAGACAAACCCACTTTCTCCAATCCTGTTTTCTCCTTAATGTTTTCTCAATGTTGGTTCTTTATACTAACCTTGTCTCTAATTACAGGCACCCTGTTGATAGGGCGATGGTGGAGACTCTTTGTGCTTTTTGGGTGGTGTCTTCCCCTTCTCCCAAGAGGGCGAGTTTTGATGCCCCTAGTGCTTCTCGATCAAGATCCGATGGCTAGGTTGCTTCCTGGGAGATGGGACCAGGTGGTGCCCCACTCCTTCCCAGACTGTAACTATTGTGTGTACCAGAGCTAGCTCTTGTACCGTTGTAGGAGTTGAGACTTCAGTGCGGTCTTCTACTGGGACTGTAGCTCCACATAGTTGTCTTGCTTCTAGTAATGGCTCGGTGTCAATGCTTTGACTTGACTTTGGTTAAGGAACGACTTTGGAGGTCTGTGACTCCCGGGGATATCAAAGAAGCAGGCATAGGGGGGCTGCTGAGAGCAGTTAAGGTTGACTTATAAGAGAGTAACACCTCTTGAGGCTGAGCTTGAGGCGACTCGTGAGAGAGGCGCTAAGTTGGAGATTAAGGTTGCTTAGGAGCAGAGATAGGATTAGGCCGAGCTTCTTGGCGACTCGTGAGAAAACGTGAAGATGTATACATAGACTGCTTAGCAGCAGAGGTAGATTCAGGCCGAGCTTCTTAGCGACTCCCGAGAGGATGCGAAGCTAGATATATAGGCTGCTCAAGAGCAGAGGTAGGATTAAGCCGAACTTCTTGGCGACTCGCGAGAGAGCATGAAATGGGATACATAGACTGCTTAGGAGCAAAGGTAAATTCAAGCTAAGCTTTTTGGTGACTCGTGAGAGAGTGAGAAGCTGAATACATAGGCTACTCAAGAGTAGAGGTAGGATTAGGCTGAGCTTCTTGGCGACTGGCAAAAGAACGCGAAGATGGATACATAGACTGCTTGGGAGCAGAGGTAGATTCAGGCCGAGCTTCTTAGCGACTTGCGAGAGAATGCAAAGCTTGATACATAGGCTGCTTAGGAGCAGAGGTAGGTTCAGGTCGAGCTTCTTGGTGACTTGTGAAAGAGTGTGAAGCAGGAAATTGATAAGGTGACTATCTGTACGAGAATAGAGTCAGAGCTGCAAGCGCCCCGTGAAAGGGTCGTTGGAGCTGAGGCCGAGCTACGTATAGCTCAAGAGAGGGCTATCGTGGTAGAGGATCATTTCATTGATATGGAGATGAGGAGGGCACTGAGGAGCTGAGCACCTGAGGCTGGGCGCCTGATGCTAGGCGCCTACTGAGAGAGCCATTGTTGATTTATCTGGCTTCGTCCCCTATGAGGCACCAACAATAATTGGTGACGAGGAGAGCCTTGATGATAGTGGTTGTGGCTCAGGGAGTAGTGACTGATCGTCGGGAGTATGATGACTGTTGTTTTTTTGTCTACCGTGTTGTTAGGTCATGTTCTAACTTTCATAAGCTGTCTACAAACTTTATGAAATGAAAGCAAGATAGTTATGTGCACTATAATCTTCGCATAATTTTATTTCACAAAATAATAAATAACAGAATAAATCAACTGAAACAACAAAGGATAGATAAAATGAGAGTCACTAGCTTGTACTCGTTATTGATAATAACTCTTCAGGTGTTTGGCATCCCATAGCTGGGCCAAGGCTTTTCTGGAGGAGTTCGAGTCCCTTCCTCCTTTTAGCCCTCAAGAGATTGTCTGAATTTCTTCAAGGAGTTGCTGGCGTTCTCTATCATTTTGGTCCCAGTCAGGTGGCAGGGCTTGTCCTTTGCCAGCAACGTACTGCCTCAACAGGCCACGTTGTATGAGCTCCTCGATCTTCCTTTTAAGATCAAAGTAGTCATCAGTATCATGACCATGGTCACGGTGGAAACGACATTACTTGTTTAGTCTCCTACGGTTCAGGGCGGATTTCATTTTTTTGGGCCAGCGGAGCATGAGGTCATCTTGTATCTGGAACAAGATGTGCTCCACCGAGGCGTTAAGTGGTATGAAGGGTTGTCATTCTCTCTTGGGTACTAGATCGAGATGGTCTTTGATAGAGACTCTCTCAGTTTTGTGTCTCTTGCTTTCTGCCTCCCTCTTGTCTTTACGGGTGTTCTTCCTTTTCTCTCTCCCTCGGGAGAACTCACCTCAACAGACTTTGGTGACGTCCTTGGCGTTTATGTACTTTTGTGCCCTTGACAGTAGCTCGAGCATACTAGAGGACAGCTTCTTGAGGACAGAGAATATAAAACTGGAGGAGCACAGACCCGCAATGAAGGCGGCTAAGGCTATTTTATCGTCTGACTCTTCAATCTGGAGAGCCTCCTCGTTGAAATGAGTGAGATAGCTCCTGAGGTTTTCATCCTGGTCTTGCTTGATGGTGAGCAGGTGGGTAACAGGCTTCTGATGTCGGCATCCCCCAATGAAGTGGGAGACAAAAGATATGCCCAGCTCTGCAAAGAAGTGAATAGAATAGGGTTTTATCTTTGCGAACCATTGTCGAGCAGACCCCTTTAGGGTGGTGGGGAAGGCTCTACACATGATCTCATCAGGCACATTGTGGAGTTGCATGAGAGACTTATAAGTGTCGAGGTGATCTAGATGTTCCTTGGTACCATTGAAGATCTCAATGACAAACATCTTAAACTTAGAGGGTAGGGGATAATTGACAACATCTGCAATAAATTGGGTATCAGTGCGCCTTGGTTTTGTACTTCAAAAATTAGTAGGAATCGAGCTACACTCACTAACCTAAGTCTCTTTATGACTTAGGGAATTAGAAGAGAAAATTTCACGAGGAAAAAACACAGAGCTTGCTTAAGCAGTCCTTCAAGGTCACTTGAGCAGGGTTTCTCTTGGACAGGATGAAAATGCGATTTTCATTCTAGAACCAACTGCCCTATAACTACTCCTCCATTGATCAAATGGTCATTTCCGAATCTGAGTTTTTTTATTTACTAAGCCCACTCTTATTCTGAATCTAAAAATAGGGAGATTCTTTCTCACAGCTAGGTTAAACCTCTTGTGAGTTTTTTAAGGGAGAAAACACTCCTTCTACCTTGAAAGCTTTCACTACTAACTTATATCCCTAAATCCAAAGGCTATCACTATAGATTTTACTTACGAATCATTGTCGTGTCTATGATTGCTCAAGACATAGACGAATCGAGCAGCGTGGAGGCCCAAGTGAAGCTACATTAGACGTCGAATGAGAGCTTTTTTCGGAGAGACAACAAAAAAAGGAGCATCTAACCATGATGCTGGTTGAGGTATAAGTCTCAAGTACTTATATGTTGACTTAACATGTAATAGATTAGACTTAAATGAACCGAGAAGGTTCCCCGCTATTTTTTTCGAGGAGGGTTTCCACATCAACAAATCACTTTATTTATTATATACACTTGTAATTGTTAGCACACACGTGTACTATATTTTTGTTGATTTGATTGATTGATATCCTTTCAACTATGGTGTGAAAATTGGGTTTAGGATTTGGAATTGTCGTGAGATTGATTGTGAGTGAATTAATTAAAGACAATCATCATGATTAATTTGGATTGTAGTGACTAAAGGGATTCTCTCATTAACTGCAATATCTTTGTTGGAAGAGATAATTGTGGTCGATTAGATTTTTATTAGTAATTAATTGAGCATTAAATTGAAAAACCTATCCATCCCCCTTTTAGGTAAAATGCCTATTGCTCCACGGGTAAATCGTGAGGAAAGATCTACACTTTGGAACAACAATTGATATTAGAGCGTGGTTGTCTTGAGTCCATAGACACTTGTATGCATTTTTTATTTTTGCTTATATACCTAGTTTGCCTTCAAGAGATCTATTGTTACTTCGAGTTAGTATTCAATGGATATTCAAAATGAAGGTAGTTCAATTGGACGACTACCACTCTTCAATGGATCAAACTTTGCATATTGAAAAGCTCGCATGAGAGCATTTCTTAAACTCATTGACAAGAGAGTGTAGTTGACCATCCAATAGGGTTGGAGCCCACCTACCACCACCACCACAGAAGTCGAAGGTGGTGAAACAGTGGTTGAAGTTAAATCCCCCAATGACTTAGTCGAGGGCCAAGATTGAATCGACATGATGAAATTAAAAGGCTTGAATGCGATATTTAATGCCATGACACACAATGAGATCTAAAGAATTGTGAATTGTGCGACATCAAAATAGGCATGTAATATTTTTGTGGTTTTCACATGAAGGAACTACAATGATCAAGATGTCCTTTCTCTAACGGTACACCTCACAATTCGAGATCTTAAGGATACAAGAGGAAGCAAGACGAAGAGATATTTGGCGAGTTTTATCCCAATTTATATGATATTGTTAACTCTTCATTTGCACTAGGTACCAAGAACGGCGATGCCGCTATTAAGTATCCATTGTTAACTCTTCCTTTCACTACTTTAAATCTAAATTTTAAATAATATTTCTTAACTTTTCAAATTTTAAAAGAAGTATCATTTTAACTTATAAATAAGTAATTATCCAATACTATTAGGGTCAGGGAGGATTTGATGGTAAGGTGATGGTAAGACAAGATTACAAATTTTGTGCATCACACAGG